TGTGCTCACCAGACAGAGAGAGACAGAGAGACAGAAAATGAGAAATCACCCCCCAGGGGGGATGGTCACGCCACAATCCCTTCTCCTCCATTCTCCTCTCGGGATCTTGGGCACACGCACACACACACACACACACACACACAGAAACACACACACATACTGTCTGACATGAGTTTAAGCCACCAAGTCTGGAATGCGAACTGCGGTCGACTACGTGGGAGTCTTGCAAAATAGCCATTATGCTAACTGCTGGTCCCTCTTTCCTGTTTCTGTATTGACTGATGGTGTATTTTCCCTACTAGAACGTAAGCTCCATGGGAGCCAAGGCCACTTCAGCTGGTTTGTCCTTCAAGGGAGAGGGCAAGCCTGTGAGTCCAGTGTCTGTGTATCGTCAGTCTGCTCATACCCTGATGCATGAGATCAGAACCCGCTCACACCCTCTGCCCTGCCTGCGATCTGTACTCTCTAGTTTTCTATCACATTACCATGAACTAACAAATATTTCTACAAAACAGATGCTTTCTTATGTTCAGAAATAAAAGCCATAATCAAACTTCAATTTGTTTTTGGGTCAGAAGAGAAATGCAAGAAAGTTTAATTTTTTTCTTCCTAGAAACGTATATACATTTCCTTTCTTCAAAATTGTTTACTCCATGTTTAATAAAGATTTCTGAGGGAGCTCAATGTAATTTACCCATTCTCAAATTAAAAACTCTCTCTCCTCACAGTGATTACTGGGTCTCTATTTAAAACTCTGGGAATAAGTGAAGCTGTGAGTATGTGGGATGCTAATTAAGCCTTTGCCTAATTGCTTCACTATGCATCAAGAGGAAGACAGTTGTGAAGTGGTTATGTTCTACGCACCATGCAGGGTCCCTGAGTCAAACTCTGACTTGGACTGGATGATAGGCACACTAAAGCTGTGTGGACTAGAGCCATGTGGCTGTAGGCAAGTGTCATCATCTATTTAAGCCTGAGCTTCTCCTTCTGTAAGGAGTAGATTGAGTTTGTCTATCCTTCTTCCAAGTCTAAAACTTGATTTGACAAATTACTTAGTATCTCTTTCCATGGAAAAAATACTGGTAGGTGATAATATCCAATAACCAAATATTTTATAATAATGAAATTAATTTTAGGGGCTAGCAGATAGCACCGTGGTTATGTCACTGGACTGTCACATGACTAAATATGGTTCAAGTCTTGGCCCCAGTAGCTTGAAAATTATGCCAGGCACATGCACGTTTGCCCAAGATCTCAGAAGGAGAATGGAGTTAAAGGGATTACAGAGTAGACATTCCCCCTGGAGGATAATTTGTCACTTCTCACTTTCTGTGTCTCTTTCCGGAAAGCATGTATACCCTAAGGCAAAAAACTCTCCCTCAAAAAAATTTTTTTCTTTTATTTATATTATGGAATTCATACTAATTGCTGCTATTTGCCCCTGTGGCTCTTGATGATAAATACTCTCTGTTGCAGATTGCTACTGAAGCAATAGAAAACTTCCGAACTGTGGTTTCTTTGACGCGAGAGCAGAAGTTTGAATCTATGTATGGACAGGGTTTGCAGATACCATACAGGTAATAACCACTGAAGAATGGGAGGAGTAGAGGGAGTTTTCCACTTATCAGATTTGTTTTCAGGATCACTATGGCCGGAAGTTAGGGAGCAAGTGGAGAAGCCACCAGAGGGGAACAATTTGGAAATGCTTTTAATTATCCAGGAAAGAAATCACAAGACCCTGAGGCCTTGGGACATCTTTAGGTAGAACCTGTAAGAATGGGAAACTGATGGGAAGAGGAAGGAGAGAGGAACTAGAGGATGACTTTCCACTATCCAGTGTAGATAATGATCCTATTAGTTGCTTGAGTTGGTGATAATCTTTTAATGGAACATGAAATTTGAGGTATCTGCTGAGCACTGGTGGGTGGTCCTCTCTAGGTAGGCCTGTTCTTTCTTTTTCACCCCTTCTCACCTGAAGACCTCCTTGTCTTCCTTTAACACAGTCATCCAGTAAGAGACCTAGTACGTGATGTGACATGAACAGCCCAACTGCTCTGTGTCCCTTTTCTATAGTAAAAGTGACAGCTAGACCTTAAATATGTATTTTTAAATATCTTTTATGATTGAAGAGCCTTTTTTTATGGAAGAAAATCCATTTAAGTGCCAATATATGACGAAGATAAAAGCAAGACTTGACCTAATTGAAGCAGGCGATGGAAATCCAGAGGCTTCCCTCTTACCAACCTGGTCCTACTCACACCACATCACTGAGTTCCAAGTCGCTCAGAACATCCTAGAATGTAACTCCTTTGGAAAGCCACCTCCACCTCCATATAAAAAGTGTTTATTCTTGTAATATATTATTCAGAAGTGCAAATATAGTAACTCAAGTGCAAATACAGTAACTTCTGGATCCCCCAGGGCAAGCACATGCCTATTCACACAGCACAGTCACTAGAGTTTGTATTGGGTAAACATGTGGAATGAGTGTTTACTTGAGAGTACATGCGTATTTCATGTCTGAAAGTGAGGATGGAGGGAAGGATCTTTCATTTATTAATTCCTAAGAGGGTCTTTATATTCATAGGCTTATTGTTTTTGATTGCCAAAGGATACAAGCATTTGCCAGAGAGAGAGGAAGAGAAAGCATCTTCCAATAGAGTGTTGCTACACTGCAATTCTTTTTCCTCCGTTTCTCTATCCTGTCAATATTTGAGCCACACACACACACCCCTATCTGCTGTGTTTTCAACCCACCACGGCCAGGATTTGAACTGTACTCAGCCATGTGGGATCTGGCTACCTATACACAGGGCTTAATCACCATACTATGGGGCCATCCCAGCTTATTTTATCTTTACACAAACACTTTGAGGCTTAGTTAATCCTGTATTAAAGAGGAAGACAATGAAGTTCAGAGCTTAGGAGGTGTCTGAGTTTGTACAACCGGTACGTGATAAAATGAAGCTTAAACTTAGTTCTTAGTTTCATTTTTTGTCTGTCACTCCTGTGTCCCACTGCCAGCCTGTGTAAAACTATGTCTTAAGGACAGAAATGAAAATGGAATAAGTTTTCAAATGTCTCTTTTCCAGAAATTCTTTGAAGAAAGCACACATCTTTGGAATCACATTCTCCTTCACCCAAGCAATGATATATTTTTCCTATGCTGGCTGTTTCCGGTTTGGTGCCTACTTGGTGGCACGTGGTCACATGAACTTTCAGGATGTTCTATTGTAAGTACTTAATGGGCTAATATTTATGACTCAATTCTGAAAATAAGACTGGGTGAATATACTTTGTGTCTGGGTAGAAAACTCTACCCTGAAGTCTCATGAAGACATTCTGGTGATTCAGGACATGTCATTTTGCCTTGTGCGGGTTACCACCAAAACACTCCACCTCACTTGGA